TTTAATTAAATGTGGAACAACTGCAGGAAACTGCTTATGAGTAATGAAAGCTCCAGATGTAGCTGGCCAGGGGATCCAGCACAGTAAGTGTTTTCAGTTGCAAAATAGCTCAATTCAAAATTGTTTCTTCCTGCCAAGTTAGCAATTCATATTCAATTATGCACAGGTACAGTGGCAAGATTTTTTACTACGGTACGATGTTATTTCATTTTCCAAATGAAATTGCTTATTACACGTACCTGACAGCATTTAATAAAAGTCTAAATACCTCTTAAACACCTGGTTCAAAGGACTGTGGTGTTTTTCCCCACAGACACAAATTACCAAATTCTCACACTACTTATGTCCCGCTCAGTAAAGTAAAATACATACCACCATTTTAGTCTTGTACATAGGTCAGAGACAAAGAAAAAAAAAAAAAGATAAATAGAAACAGTTGAACTTCATATGGTAACTTTCAGACATAGGTTTAAGAAGCGCTATCTTCTGCAAAGTGTCCAAAATCTGGTTTGTGTAACTTTGTTTAGTATAAAGGCTCCTGAAAAGGCAGTTATCAGGGCATCCATGTGTTAAAGGCTCCCTTCAGAATGAAAAAAAGTGATCAGGTACTACATCACAGACAAACATCTAGCAGCCTTTCAAGAAAATACTCCCCAAAGATGTATTAAACACACCACTCCATTAACAGACCAAAGTCACATTAAAATTAATATTCTTTTTTGGTTTGACTGAGAAGTCTTTGAAAAATCCTTGCAGGGTCTCTCAGACGCGCTTAACCCAAAGTAATTTGGATATAATGGGACTACTGTATTCACACCAGCCAGCTTCTCCAATTGTTGCAAAACAACCTGACATACACAAACTATGGGAAACTTGGATTGAGAAGGATAACACCTTCGCTCGGGCATTACACAAACTGTATTGTAACGTGGAAACAAAGCAACATAAAAAAATAAAAAAACTTCTTTCGTGCTGATTCTATATCGTGTAATTCCATTAAACAGAGATTTTCCTCACTAATTGAGTCTGAAATCAAAACTGGGTCTGCCTCAGAGACAGGCAACATAGGTAGGGTTAGATAAATCAACATTTGCATGTCAGGAGTGCCTGGGAACTTCACCTACCAATTTAAGCAAGCTGTCACATTGCTGAGGTAGAAATCTGCACAAATCCATTTCCCTATCGCTTTTCCACCAAGCACACATTTTAATCAATAGACAGATGCTTAAGTGTGGGGTTTTGTATTCTGACAAAGTAATTTTAAGGATGGCGGCCACTTCCCAGTGTGTACGTTAAGCAAAGCCACAAGTACCACAAAGTCATCTTGAAGAAGTATTGCCAAATCACTTCTTGACAAAGCACGTTGCCAAGCATGCTGTCACTTGTCTTGAGCATTGTGGGGTTTTTTTAGTACCAGTGTCAGACATTGTGGGACAGCCCAGTGCGATCCATACTAGTCATTTAGATAACGAGGGGAAAATAGGTGCACTCAGCATGTGTTTTAAAACATGTTTTCTATTCGGAACCCCACTGCTCCATCTTTAGGTCTTTGATCAAATCTGTAGGCACAAAGGCGTGATTCATAACTGCCAACATCAAAATAATCATATTCTACGTCCACGTGTCACCAGCACAGAAACAATTGGCTCTCAGCCCCAAACTCGGCATTTGTTCCAATACACTGGATGCAAACCAAACGCTGTGCCAGGACATTTGTAGGACAACTGCTGACGGTACGCGTTCTGATGCTGTCCCGGAGCCCACGGAAGAGGATTATTCCCTAGAAAGCCTGGCGAGCTGGGGAGCAGGGCTGGAGCCCTGGACGCAGCCTGCCCCCTCCTAGACCCCTGCCTGCCCGGGTATCAGCACCCGCCAACCTTCGATAACCCACACTGGAGAGACCAAGAAGGAAAAAAGCTGGAGAAGAATGAAAAATAAGAGAATAAAAGACTAGACATATTGGAAAAGAGGCAGAGGGCAGAGTGCTGGAGGAAAAATAGTGGAGCCTGAATAGTTACATTTATGAACACAGCCAAGTACCAAGATAAGATTACGTGTAGAGACAAAAACTGAACTCAGTAAGCAAGAATTATAATTTTCACATCTAGAAAGCACAGCAGGATCTGCACACACTGGATGGGTACGAACTACCTTTCAGAAAAGTTGTCCCAAATGTTAGTGACAGAGCACTTGTGTGCTTGGGGCACGGTTCCCTGCAGCCTTTCTGTGGCCAAAACACCCACAGTCATTTATGAGGATAAGTCATCTCTGAGCCCCAAGCTCTTGCTTTCTCTCTCAAGATGTAAACAGAAATACAGAAACAAAAATATGCATGCACACTTTCAGAGGCAACACTTATTTAACGTAAGCCTACTGCTAAAAGAATTAAATGAAAACCAAAGGAAGCTTCTCTTGAGCTGAAGACTACTACGTACCGGCGATACACACGAACGCGTATTTCTGAGGTTTGCATTAGCTGACCAAGAACACTGTTAATTTGCTTTTTCACGTGCCTATTAGAAAATTCAGAAACGCAACTGACAATAGGGCCAACTTTGCAATCCCTTGCGGTTCCAGGCCTGAATCATTTAAATGAAAACTAGGGAGTTTGCAAAGAAAATGATAAAAGATAGGGCAGTTTCAGTATCCTTGAGTTTTTAGTGGTTAATAAAATGATTGCATTAGATTTCATTGCCTGTCACCTACCGGGCCCGATAGAGCTGTGCAATAAAGAATAGCGCCTGTGTGGTTTTCAGGTGGAAAAAACGAAGTAGCAGTAAAAAAAAACCCTTAGGAACATATCGGGCGGGCGGCTCTCCAGCGAAGTTCGGGGATGCCGAAGCGCCCGCTGCGGAGGCAGGCGGTGCCGAAGGGGCACCGGGGAGAGGATCCTACTGATGCATTTTCTGGCGTTGCAGCCGCGGCCCCCGGGCGCTCCCGCCG